AATTCCTTGACTATCCATATGGATTAGCATAAAGGGCTACTGATTCCTTCCCTAAATAGCTCAAGGGAAAAACAATAAAATACCATCTTTCTCCTGGGGAATTTGCTAGTGCTTGAGCTGCCCAAAAAGTATATACCACAACACCATCAGTACAACCATGTTACAGCTCAGAAGCAGTAACTACCCAAGATGACGTTCAAAAATACTCAGCCACATGTAACCTTATTTCTTGGGCTGCCCTGCTGTTGTTATGATAACAGCAACACACATAACAGAAGTGTTGCCTATAGAAAGGAAAAGGAAGCCACCACCAACAAAGCATGACCACCACAAGTGCACTCACACTCTCAAGTACAGATCTGCCCAGATAGGCCAACAAGATAGGCCTGAAGATGGATATTTTTTTCTTTTAGAGATGAGGTATTGGATGCCAACGCTGTATCTGCCAGGTATGTACCAAATATCAGCCAATAAAGATCAAGTGTATCTGCCTCTCTGCCTTGGAAGTAACCAGTTCTGCCTCAGTCTTCACAAATGTGTGAATGTAGAGTCCCCAGCTCAGGTTCAAACAGTCAACACTTTTACTCTGCCATTCTGCAGAAGAACTTAAAAGATGGTATTAGTGAGGATAAAATATAGCTCCTTTGCATCAGGAAACACTGTCCTCACATTTCAATACCCTGTTGCTGCTTCTACAATTCACTTACAATTCTCTACAAAATCCAAGAGTTAACTTGAACCAACCCTCCTCTCTTCCACAAGCCTTCCTAACATCCTTCATAGCTTTTGTCAAGTATCTCACTTAAAGTCTACTTCCTAGAAAGTACCAGCATCAAAACTCAAGTACTGCTTTCTTACAGACAACTTGCAGAGCTGTGCTGGAGGCAGATGAAGGAAAACACCTGTCACTAGGTATACTGCCATTAATCTAAAGGATGAGAATTTCTCTATACACAGTAATCACCTTCATATGTAAATACATAAATAAATAAATAAATAAATAAATAAATAAATAAATAAATAAATAAATAAAGGGTCCTTGCTTCCAGCTCCTGGGCCTATCAAGGTCATGAAGCAATCTCAGTCATCTAGCACTGGTACTCCATCACACTTTGTTCATCTCCATCAGACTTTGAATTTCTTGGGGGCAACATCTAATGAAATGTGGCATCTTAGCATTGCTAGTGCACTGTAGGGGAGCAGCCAGTCAGACTGCCAGTGTGAAAAAAAGTATGTGTGAAAAGCAGTGAAATTAGACATACACATGGATATATAGATAAGTTAATACATGCCCACAACATAATCAATATTCTGCCCATGATATAATCAATGAAACTAAAGAGAAATTAAGAAGACTGTAGCAATTTCATTATACTCATAAATTGGGCCACCTTCTTTCATATTACCTGTAGTTGCTCTCAATCTGAAGATGTGAAGGTAAAAAACAGACAGTAACCCATATTTCAGCAATAGTACTGGGAGTTCACAGTAAATAATACATAGTCTCTTCTGGACTTAAGACTATTAATGCAAATAGACACAAATGCTCTTTCATCATCTGTTTTACAAACTATAACAACATCATGCTAAGAACTGAGGGCCAAGTTCTATCCTGAAAGAGTTCATGCAGCTCATATGGAAACAGAAAGAAGGCCATCCATTCAAAAGCAGAAGCAGCATTTACTTATAAATATTAACGCATTTATAACATATAACATTTTTAACGTGTAATAAACATGTATTAGCTAATAATAATAATAATAAATATTTGATAATTGATAATTGATAATAATTAATAATTACTACTAATAATTATTAATAATAATTGATAATAGGTTTTCATAATAACCAAGGAAACAAACATAGGGAAAAAAATAGATTGACAAGAGTTAGCAAGAATGATTGGTCCCTAAGGGGAAGGAAGCAAGGAATAACCCTGGTGCAGGTTGGGCGATCCTTTCAATGATGGGGTACAGTCCCAGAGTACTGGAGAGTGATAAGAAGGACAGGATGCTGCAGCAGCAGGTCCCAGTGACTGTCCAGTGATCTTCCAGCAAGGAGCTTGAGCCCAAGATTAACCCAGGAAATGCAAACAGGTCTGAGGACAGGTACACACACAGCAGTCCGAGGCTGAAGGCCCAGGGCCCAGCTGAAACAAAAACTCTGGGCAGGAGGGGAGGTGGACATCACATACCCCCTGAACAGACTGGTCAGGGCCTTTTGACTCTGCAAAGACTCTCATGGCCCTGGCAGGGGAAGAGGTTTTGTGGCAAAATATTCTAGCTTTAATCTTGTGTGATCTGAAATGGGAAAGTCTTTGAATTCCCCAGGCATGTGTCTGTGGCAAAGACCTCAATTTGGTTTTCATGACTGTGATAATTTATTAGGCTTAGAGAGAACTGTAATTTCTAGATCAGTTGTTACTCACAGATTTATGGATTCAGTGCTTATATTTTGCAGCTGACTAACAGCTGACTGAGACCAAAATATTGTAAAGCTTTCCCAAGAGAGCATGGAGTCCAGATTGATTTCTATTTTGCATATATTTGCAGTATTATTGCCAATGTCAAACAAGATACTTTGAACAACATATGATAAAGAATGTTGAAATGTAAGACTTGTTATCATTGGTTAAATGCTACATGTTAAGGCCAATATAACCCATACATGTCTCATTCAGTTGCTTATCCAGGATACAAACGAGGTGGAATCATAACTATTTGACAAATGAAAGGTGCACAAATGTCTCAAAATCAATACTAGCATTTTTATAAAGACTATGCATAGTGACTTAGAGAGGTCATATTTATTGCTGAGCTGAAAAGTCTCATGATAACTGCAAACTTTCATCATAACTAAGGCTAAATATGATACTTCTTTGAAACATATCACAAGACTAGTTCACGATATTTCTAGTTTATTCTAGTTTCTTTCCTTTTTAACTTTCAGTCTGCATCAAAAAACTGAAAGAACCATCCCCTAAAGTCTTTTGCTTTTACTAACAGATATATAAAGGACAAGTAGCCTGAGGCTTAATATTTTTCAAGCTTTTAAATATTTTTTTCTCAATTTAGAGCATGTTCATGTCATTTCAGTGGCAGTTCAAAAGCAAATGGTTCCCAGTTCAAAATGTGAGTTTTCAGATCAGATCCACTGTATAAAAAATAGTTGATGACATGGATGATATGGAATGCATTTACAGTAGATGATTACCCAAAGTGACAGAAGTAAGGATTCATTGACAAAGTAAAAACAGATTCCAGAATCCAAAAATCCCCAACATGGCAATGCGTCAAATAAAATGTCTTTATTCATAGCCCCTAAACCTGACTGTTTTGTTCAATGACAAAGTATCAAAGGCTTAGCCAAAAAGCAATCAGACATCTGGGCTGTTCCATTTCTAAATGCTAGTTTCTCTGTTTGTTCTTTTTGTTTTGTTGGTTTGTTTGTTTGTTTGTTTGTTTTGTTGTTGTTGTTATTGTTTAAAAAAAAAAAAAAAAAAAAAACACCGTCAGTCAGCAGAGAGAGAATAGAATCATTGTGCCAAAAAAAAAAAAAATCACTAAGGGTCAGCCATAATACACAGGCAGTTTTTTCACGATTTCATGGCTTTATTTCTGTGATCAATATTTCAAGCATCATTCATGAATTAATAAATATCAATGGCTCCAAATTCCTAACAATACAGATCTTCCTGCAGTATTAAACTGAATGAGGACTCATGGTAGGGAACACATTACGGTTTACTGTAACTGGACATGAACAAGGACAACCGTGTTCATCTGTTAATTAAATGTTAGAATGGAGTGAATAATTCAAAGTGAAGTGTTTGCTTGACAGGTCTATTCTTTTACTGATCACCTTCTTGAGAATAGTTATGGCCTCGTCAAACTCATTGTTTCAAAGGGCGTACTGACCATGAATAATTCAGTCCATTCACTTGTTATTTTACTACTGCAATTTGTGTTATTTTTCTCCAGGCTTATTTATTGGTTTAAGGCAAATGGAACGAATAAGCAAACTCTTCCCATATAAAGATCTTTATGAATGAAGATTTTAGACATGTCTTGAGATATATTAAGCATATCAATTAGAGATTGTCTATGACATTAATTGCATCACTCTGGAGTTGGAATCTTGGAAAGGAGACTGCTAAAGAGACTACAGGGAGACTGCTAAAATTACCTTCATCTTAGAAAAATCACCTATCTATCACAAATGTATATATATATACTTTCAGTGTATAGAATTCTGAATATTGCCAAGATTTTTTTTAATTTTTTTTTTTTTTATAGTGTGTGTACTTCATTTGACAGTCTCTGCAGGTTATCCAGTTTTCCCTTCCTGTATTGATGGAACTGACACTACAGCAGCTGCAGTGGGAGAAAACAAAACAAAACAAAAACCCTAACATGTTCTAAAAACAGATTTTTGTGAATGCAGCCCTAGAAAAATTAGTCAGGACAAGTGAAATACTCCCTAATTTTTTCACTTGACCATATCACTGAATAATATCTAATAATATCATAGCTACTGTTGTAACCTAGGCTACTTCAGCCTAAAAGACATGGCTGAACACCTGAGAAGCATCACAGAGCTAAAAGTCATCAGCAGTTTCCATGTTGATCCCACCAGCTGAAAGTATACTGTGATATGTGCTCATGAAATCTTGAAGTAAAATATTATTTATATTTCCATATTGACCAGTGAGATGTTCACCAATATACACTAATTGCACAGCTGAAGGTTAAATATTTTCTGTATGTAGTCAAGCTGCTTCTGTCAGCAATTATCTTAAACTGTAAGGTTCATAAAAGTCTGAGATCATTAAATCAGACATAGGATAGTGAAGGAGAGGACTGTAGTCTACTCTGCAATGACAAATCAAGAGAGAATATTTGAATAAAAGTGAATCAAATAGCTTCAAGAAAAGGTATAATTCAAAGTGGTGAGGAGAACATAAATATTGTATGCAAGCACCTGGCTGATAACAGAGGAAGCCAGCAGGTACCATCTTAATCTAATAAACCTCCACCCACTCTGTTTGAAAAGCAGGTGGGGGCTAATAAAAAAGGTTTCTCAAAATTTTAACATGGACTGTTATTACACATTTCAAGGTATTTATTATTGCAGCACCCGCTAGTGCCACCAGAGTTAGAAGGAACTTCTAACTACCAGCTTTTTCTGTCTTCAGCCCCCGCTCACAAGGTTTTTTATGATGACCATAAAAAGGGGCTGAAAGCTCAAACTAGGCAAACAGGGATTCTGGTGTTTTTCCAGAGTATGAAGAGCTGGTGGGTTTTGGTAAGTGTTGTATACATCTTACATTTGCAAATCTCACTCTCAGCTCTTTTTCACTTATGTATTTTTACAATGCTTTGGCTTGTTTAAAGTGGAATAAAAACAAGTAAGCAAGAAAATTAAAAAAAAAAAAAAAAAGAAGAGAAAATACATTTTTTGTCTTTTTTCTTTCATTGACTCATATTGTTTGCATTTTTAATAGCTTCAGTATTGCTTTATATATATATATATATATATCATACTACTTTTTGGTACATGTTATCATAGTATCATAGAATATCCTGAGTTGGAAGGGACCCTTAAGGATCATCAAGTCCAACTCTTGACACCGCACAGGTCTACCCAAAATGTTCTTCATTTTAATCGACAGTTTAAGTCTCTTTTTATTTCTAAAACACTAATATTTAAATAAGTCAATTATATTTTTAATGCAGGACCAGTGACTAGCTTCAGCAGAGCCCAGATACAATGTGGATGATTTATTGGGAACTGGTGTGTGACCAATACCAACTCATCTTCTAGAAAAAAGAGAGAGAGATGTTTAAATTGTGCCTCAGAGCATTAAACTAGGTACTTTCATGCATTATATATGATGTTAAGAAAGTTCAGCAATATCAAAGTGAGATGATACAGTTATTTCTTTTTTGATATAAAACACATTCATATATTTACTACTGGTAAAACTAGAAGCTTAGAAGATCCTTTGTGAGATTGGGTTTACTGGTGAGATACATAGCAGTATTAGATTTTACTACCTAAAGTAGATAGATAATAGTTTAAATAGACTAGAGAGGAACAGAAAGGTGTCTCCTGTTTAAGAAGGATTTTGAATGTACAGCTCATGACCAGCAGGTCTGTTGTTTCTCTGAGGTACATGGCTGGCTGTCACAGACTGGTGTGGCTGCTCAGCCTGATGTCTCTGGTGTCACCTGAGTGAGAGTATCCCTGCTTCTTCTGTGTGATCCAAAAAAGGGACACCTGGGAGAAAACTTTGATGGGCAGTAGTCTTTCCTCAACATTACACAAGGGGATGTTAGTAGAGAAAGCCCAATCAGCCAAACAACCTCCTGTTGTGCTTAAAAGCAACTAAGAGAACAGAACATCTTGTAAACGAAGTAGACCTGAGTATAATAAACATTTCAGAAACAGAGCAGTCTGTCCAGAGTCAAAAGAAATAAGTGTCTTATTACCCATATGTGAAAATGAGAAATTATATCTGAGGTAGGCTGTGAATGGAATACTGGGGAGGTGAAGTAACCTGGGAGCAGCGGTGGAGAGCAGATAGTGCTTGAACAGATCAAGTTTGGAATATTTGGGATGGAATAATTTGTTGAAATCTGCTGGCAAACTAGTCCATTCTTCCTGAAGCAATTCTCATCTCAATAGAATAAATAAAATAATAAATAAATAAATAATAAATAAATAAATTTAATTATAATCTTTTAGCTCTGGAGATGTTCTGGAGCTGTACATTGGACAGCCCTCCTTCCTTGTTCATCAACAGTGTTAATGATAAACATGTCAAATGCTATTAAAAAAAACTAATAGGATTATAAAACCTTTCTTCTATATCTGGAGAAAAATAAAAAAATATATATGAAGTTGAGATAAAAGAGAATAAACCCCTTAAAGCCATCACAATGTGTGGCCATAATTACTTTTATATAAACTGGCCATACATAGTGTCAAAAGTGAAGTATGAAAAAACAATTTTTCATTTTTTATAAAAGCTGAATAGTACTGGCAGCTTTAGCAAATACATGAAGAAAACTCATCCTAAGTAACACCTAAAGCATTTGATTAAAATTTGGATTGAGCATTAAGAAGAGTGACTTAGCTCTTGCAACACCGTAGTACAAAGGGAGTGCTACCAAATAAGGAAATCTGTACTTTCCCCTTTCCTATCTTCATTAAACATCTTTTCTTAATCTTAAATTCAGTTCTGGGGTCTGTCTTTCTAAATAAATCAGCGATGTTTCTCCTTCACAAATGAGATTTCAGTTTGTAGATCTTATGTTAATTAATCATTAAGAAAAATTTGAAGGAGAAATGTCTGGCTAAGTTTACCAAATGTCTTTCAAGTATAATGACAGCTTGAAAAAGTCTTTGAAAATGATCTTACTCAACAAAACAGACTAGCAAATAACCTTTGAATGGCAGTGAAGCAAACTTGAACGACATTTGAAATGGGAAAAGCAAGCAAGCAAGCAGAGGGAAATGATTTCTGATGGAGATGGTGCAAGAGGTTTCACAATCTGTTTTTTTGTTGTTGTTGTTTATTTGTTTGTTTTGTTTTGTTTTCAGAAAAAGAAAATCCATAGCCAGATACACTGCTCAACCTCTATGGAGATCAGAGCATAAATAAATGCGGTACAAAATGTTGTTTCTTTGTCTGCACGGGTAATTTGTTTTTCTGTAACTGTCTGGAATGAAGGACAATTTCTGCAGGAGACAAGACCTTTGGTTACTTGCCTCTGTTTTAATTCAGGTAGGAGGACAGAACCATGGTGTGCTGGTAGCTCAGAGACCTGCAAAAAATCTTTGTTCTCCATGGCTGCACCTTGCTTAAGATCTTGAAGGCTATTAAGAGTACTTGAAAAATAATTTATGAGTCATACAGAGATGACCATGAGCAGAGTGAAGTTCAAACAATTGTCACCCAGCTCAGAAGCTAAAACTGGCTCAACCTAGGATTGTTGGTTTGGGGCTTTTTTTGTTTGTTTTTTTGTTTGGTTAGTTGGTTGGTTTGGTTGGGTTTGGTTTTTTAAATAAACTTGTATAGGAATATCATATCACGTCACAACTGAAAAAAAAGGAAAACTAAATCTTCAAATTTAACAACTTTAAAACCAATATCCAAGTTATATTTAATACAGTGGAACTCAAAACAAATGAAGAATGCCTTCAGCCCTGAACAAAGACCAGCTGAAAATGAAAATCACCTGATGAAAGAATAAAGTTATTCTTTCTTAATGCAGCAGAAATTGTTGATTCAACTGTTGGAACAGCATAAAGCGAAATAGAAAGTATTTGTAGACAAGAGAACAGAACCTAATGGATATTTTCAGTAAGCCTAGAAACTCTGTTACCACTACAGTGCAAAAATAATTGTTCTACTTCTCCAATTCCTTGCAATGATTGTTTTTCCAATATGTAGGATGAAAGAAACGAAGACTAATAATTGCTTGTCAGCGCTGAAGAAGCATGACAGGCATCGACCATTGGAAGGGGAATGCCACTTTGCTGCTGCATGTGATAGTAACAGACTGATTTCTTTTGGAAGTCCCATAGACTTGTTTGGGAGTTCTTTAAGCATGCTTGCTTTTCCATAATAATAAAAAATAAGGCAATTTGCTTTTTTCAAATCTGTTTGAGTAAAATTTCAATAGGCACGTGTGGTCATAGGAACTGTACCTGGAGTACCTTACAAAAATCTGAGTCACATCCTGGGTCTCACTGCATCCTGAAATTCAAGAGTCAGTAGTTATAGACTAGAGAAACCTAGTTCTCAGGATCCTTTTCACTTTTTAAGTAATGGTCTGCCCTAAGAAGGGGTGAAGAATCTTCTCATATATTAAACAATACAGGAGACCAGTAAACCAAGATCTACCTAGATGCTTGGGCTATAATGCCAGCTTGATTGTTGTATGAAAAAAAAAAATGCTTATTACATTAAAAAGCTGGTTTAAATACATACAAGCACATTTTATTAAGTTTGGGAGAATTAAAAATATTTTAACCCTGCAGACTAATTTTTTTTCCTACAATAAGAACAAATACTTCCCTGAGAAAATATGACAAAAGTTCAAAAAGTTTATGACTTAAAAGTTAAGGAGTCTGCCACTTTTTTTTTTTTTTTTTTCCCCAATTAAAAGAGAAAGAGAGAAAGAAAGAAAGAGTGCTTATTGATGGAAATAACATTAAGAAGTGCATAGAAGTATTTCCAGATAGGAAAAAGAGAGAGAGGGAGAGAGAGAGAGAGAAGAAGGAAGGAAGGAGGGAAGGAAGGAAAGAAAGGAAGGAAGGAAAAAAAGGAAGGAAGGCCCAGAATTTTATACCTAAATTCCAAAGGAAAAAAAAAAAAAAGTCTGCAGCTAATAAGCTTTATTCCCCTGGTAAGTATTTTGCTACAGATTGTGGACTTGCTCTAGAGAGTTTGACAGATGCAAAGACTAGGTAACTCAGGGTACTAGGATACCAAAATTTCCACCTCTATGTTGACAGCTAAATGCAACACAAGGTAGAACTAGATGATATTCTGAAAACAGTGCAATGCTTTCTTAAGACTCTTTAATTCACCACTGGAACCTGTAAAAATATTTTTTAGAAAATATTTTAATATGATGGTTGTTCAGGGATGGTGCTAATGATGCTTAAATCCATTTTTATATATTTGAAGTCTGGTCATCACCAGTACTTTCTGACAGCCTCAAACTTATGGATGTAAGGGACATAGAAGATGAAATATCACCCCAGAAATTATCTCTCCCAGTAAGATTTTAGACACATTAATGGATTAGCATGGGGGAATTTATGTCAGGTTTTCTTAAACAACAGTACATCAATAGACAAGTTTGGTCCCCAAGGCTATCAAGTCAAAAAACCTTTCATCATTTTGTTACCTTCCAAAAAACTCAGAAGACATTCTCAGAGAATCTGGATTCATATAAATCTATGACAGATAAATCAATGAGCCAAATAACACCACAGGGTATTAAGAGAACTGCGTTATTTGAATACACAGAAGAATGTTCGATGCTTTGTGCCATACAAACCTTTTGGTGAGTATAACTTTTCTAAACACTATCTTAACTAGAAGAGTTTATTTTAAGGTGAATATATATTCATTTTCTGACACAGGGTAGTCTATTTATAACCAATGTTTAACTTCTCTGGGATTTTTCTTTTAGCATAATACTTTGAAAATATATGTCGTTCACTATAACATTTTGCACTTAGCAAGCAATAGTTTGGATTCATTTAATTAGGTGATTCTGACATGCAGAGATCTAGGTATGACTTACATTTTTTTCTTGTTTATTCCTGTGCATTATCTTATTTTTGTGGGTAAGTATGACTGGATGTTAACATTAAAGGAAAAGAAAATAGCCACAGTATATTCCCATTTTTACTGCTCATCACAATGCCCTTCCAAAATGCAGATATTTACTTTGTTGTCAGAATCTCTGTAGCAGATATAATGAAGATAGAATAATTGCAATGTAACCTGAGAAAAGTGTGTCCTTTTTGGTTAACATCTTGAGGTGACATATTTTCTTCCTCTTATTTTTGAGCAATATATGTAACTCTATCTTATTGCAGGCAGTTCCCAGAGGATTTTTAAGGGAGCTCTTCCTCCTGTGAACAGGACAATTCCCTTGCAAGTATATATTCCAGAAAAGGGTGAATGTATAAAATTTGAAGGTGGCTGTCACCATCCTTCAGCTGCACCTTGCACTTCACACCTTGTCTACACTAAGGATGTTTTGGGGTAAGTTTCACACCAAGACTAGAGAACTCATTTTGACTTCTGTCAACATTTTAGCACCATATTGATAGTGCATGCATACAGAGTTCTCAAAACACTGCCAGAATATGTTGGTATAGATATTTCTAAGTACAAACAGTGAAATCAGGTTAACATTAGAAAGAGGGCAATTCCTATTTCCAAAACTTCGTAAATAAAATAAACAATCATAATAATAATAAAAGGCTTACAACAGTTCCTGCAGAGCTATGGACTATTTATCGTTATGATTTGTGCATTTCAACATTTCTGAAGGATGTAACCCTTTGTTTTGCTTCCAGTGTAATGTAATGCATTACAAAGCAATTCAGTGAGCAGTGATTCTAGGTTTTTGTCCTTAAAGTTAGGATCAGTTTGGGAAATTGTACAGCAGAAAGAGAAAGGAGAAGACTCCTAGAAGACAAAACATATGAGAATGGATGGCAGTTTCATTGGAATATTTTAGGGGACAATTCACAAATTCTTACCATTACTGCATGCGTTTAATTATACAATTCCATATCCTTCTGTTACTATCACCACAGTCAGAACTAACAGAAAAGAATTAAAAGATTTCAGAGAGGCCATATTCATACGGATTTGACACTACACTTTTTTTTTTTTTTCTCATGGCTCAAATAACCCACTCTTCTGCTGGTCTCTGTCAGAGAATTCACATGTGGTACATCAACATTATTATCAAGAACGGTTGTCACTGTAAATAAGTCTTGAAATGCTTAATCTCTATATATCAAACTTTGATAGCAGTGGAGGTATTGCAGCACAAACTTAAGGCCAACTTATAACATACTATGCAAAACTTCACTGAAGAAGAGAAAGTCTGTGCTGCTGATCAATTCCTATCAATCAGGCATACCTATACAGTGTACTCACAGCTTGTGTTGCTGGCTAAAATCTAGTTTCAAAGGTTCTTGCTGAGGGTGCTTTGAGAATGTCCTCTTCAATGGCTTTAGCACTTAGAGGCAGACATGACAAAAATGCACCCTTCTCAACATCTTCTTGCTAGCAGGCAGAAAGAAAGCATTAGTCATAGAATCATAGCATCATTCAGGTTGGAAAAGACTTGTAAGATCATCGAGTCCAACCTTTAACCCAGTACTGATAAATCTGCCTTGATAGACCTTCCCATTAGAGGAAGATGACCAGTACTTCGTCAAGCTGCATCAGAGGATGTATTCGTAGTACTGGCAGTGTTCACAGTACTGGCAGCAGCAGCAATATCCTGGATGCAGAAACAGATTCAGAAAAGTAACTTCTGAACAGCACAAAACAAGCCTGGAGGCAGTCACACCAATTTCATCTGGCCCATGGACATCCACAGTAGGTGGCTTTGCATGCTCCTCTTTTTGAGGTCTATAAATGCATAATGCAAGACAGTTTTTGAATGGCAAGAGGGGAACACGGATGAGCCCAGAGACGAAGTCCAGACAATATGTAAAAGGACACTTTAATAGAACTTTTATAGCAAGGCACAAAACAAGCCCTGTGCTACAGAAAATTTGTGGGGTATTCTTGTCACTAATAATACTGATAAGTTTTAGGAGGTCATGCTAGGGATTCAAGGTCAGATTTCCATAACGTTATGTCAGCATCAGTATAATTCATATTTTATTGTTACTAGTACTAATATCTGGCATTCTGAATCTAAAAAAGCCAGTCACTAGCTGTATGTTTACACCATGTTTTACACCTTCAATGGGAGCTTGCTGTGGGCACATGTGAACTGATTTTGCCCATGCCCAGAACTGTAAAAAAAAAAATCAAAAACCTTAAGTGACAAGTATCAGTGATTTATTCATCCTGTGCTAATAATCTCAGCCTCTCAACAGCTTTCATTAGCTCAGTACTTTATAAA